CAAACACAAGCCTAACTGATACTCTGACAGGCTTAGGTAGAAACGCAAAACTGCCTGGGGCATTTGCAATGAGACCACGTGTTCAACATGTGAGTGGCCATACTTGGAGACACATCCATCCCTCACTCCCTAACACGTAATTTTCTCATATTATAGTACAGACTTGTCAGTTACAACAACGTGACTCAAAGTTATCATTAACCCTACTGTAACAAAACATTTTTTCCTGGGCTTCTCCAATCCTTACACAATTAGGTCAGTGGGAAAGATTCGTCTTTTTTGTGCAAGCAGTCTGTGCTTGCCTCTAGGATAAGGCAACTTACAGCACACTTGCATGAATTTGACAGCAGCTATTGTAATGTTGTCACAGAACAGATGTAAGCAGTTTTGCTTTACAGCATGCTGCTTAACGTCTTGTCTGGGCTTGTTAGAGACAAGCATAGATAGTCTACAGACAGGAAAATGGAAATCACAACTGATCATATCACAGGCTTGTCCTTACATTTCCCCAATAGAAGCTGCTAGCCTGAAAAACCGTTACTGAAGTTCGTTACGGTGTTCTGCCCAGAAGTACCTGCTGAGAACAGTAAAGTTAAGCTACAAACCACATGCTTGTAGGTGCTTATGCCCTCATCTCTACTCCTTGAGTTGAAGGCAACAGTACAGAAAAACATTGATTTGTCAGCTCTTCTAGAAAATACCAGCCAAGCCCCAGACATACATATATATGACATTAAACAGAGGTGTCACAGGCTACCTTTGAGACTTGATTACTGCCTGTTTAATTAGTACATTTAGGGCTCCGCTGTGGGCAGCAACTCTTTGCGTTAGAGTGTACAAGGAGAGGCTGGTATTTATACAAGCAGTACGAGCCTTCATTACTGCCTGGTTTTGCTTCTCCCCATGCGGTAGAGATAGCCTGGCTAGTTCCCCTATTTGGAGGTACCAGTGAAACTGCGTCAGCTTCCATCATAATCCCTTCCTCATCCCCCTAATTCTATGTGGTTCAGGTATTGAGTACGTATATAGATCTGTACAGAATACATGTACTCATGCCTGCTGTCCTGTCTCTTCCAACTGTTGACATGTTCTCTCAATGTATATGTGAAAAACAAGAATGTTGGAAAACAACTTCTGGGGAAAACACTGATGATTGTTCTCCAGCCTTGGGCTACTCCACCAGGAACAGTTAGCTCTTTGTTGGGGACATCAGCTGGACACACACAAACTGACTGGGGATTTGTTCTGGGCCTCTCTGTTTCAGAAACAAAACGAGAATTCACAGCGGGCTCGTGTTTATCTACAGATTAATTGCCTCTCCTTTCAAGGCAATACTTCTCCATGCTCATGATCGGGGTAAATTTGTTGAGATTTGCCAAACTCTTGTGGCTGGGTATGGTTTTTCACATGGCCTTCTCTACTCTGGAGAAAATACTTACTAGTACACACTTAACGGGAATGTTAGTGTGGCAGAGTAATGTAACAACTAACCTTACACAAGCACGTGCCTTTGCATGCCTGTAGCTCCTGAGCAAAGACCATGAAGTAGCAGGTTCTGCTGCTCCAAAACGCCCTGCTGATCTTCCTGTTTGACCCAAGCAGAACACAGGCAAAATTGAAAGTTAACTCCATAAAATAAAAGTACAAAGCATGCAGAGAACTGGTTCTGCATTTCAGCCTTAGCACATTCTAATAGGCTCCATTAGTAAACCACTCTATACACCACGCTACTTCTGTGGCTTTAAGAGATAAGTTTGTAATTGCTATTCAGCATGGTTTGGGGCTTTTTTTATTCCCCCTTTGGGAACAGGAGTGTATCACACAGCACCCGGATGAAGTTCTCCGCAAGCAAAGCGTGTTTCCTGTTAAAAGTCATTCCCAGTTATTGATTTCAAATGTCCCAGAGAGCTTAGCTCAATTTGGCTGCTGCAAGGAATTTGCACAAACCATGACAAAACGCGGGAGGTGTTCTCAGAACTCAAACTATGGAGTTTAATCTGCTCTATTGTGCTGGTACCTAAACATGCCTGGAGCTGCAGCAGGTTAAATGAAGAGTCCAGCTTCCCTCTGCGTATTTTAAGCAGGACAGAATTTCACAATAGCTTTGTATAACCCCTTTGTGCAGATATCCAAGGGCTTAGGGGGCTGATTGGTCTCAAATACCGCTCAAAACTGCCAGCCATCATAGAACACTGTCTGTCTTTCATAACATGGCAGCAGAAATCTCGTGAGGGTGGTCTTAGCTTACTTTGCAGCCAGATTTCTACCCACCATGTTACCCCAGGGCTAAAAAGGAAAAGCTGTCATTCTGTACCATCACTCTCATGTAATCAGAGGCAGGGAGGGGAACGTTATTTATGTGAAATTCTTTCTCCTGAGAGCACAAAACCCGCTGCTGACCCTGACAGAAGTAGGCAGAAAGCCATGGAAACCCGGGGAAGTTACACAAGGGTGCAGAACTGTTTATGGAGCCAGATCACACACTGGACCCAATGTTGCTCGCGGGCAGTAGGTGGGGCTTTCGGCATTTGCGTGGGAGCTCTCCAATGAGACCCAGAGGAGGAGAAGGCTACAACCTTCTGGTTTTCATGTCAGCATCTCCCTCCCGTCGGGCTGGGGCATGGGCGGAGTTTGACAAAACTAAAATAAACAGACACGCAGCATCTTGTATGTGCAGCCTCAGAAAGATAGACTGCAATAGCTAGGAGGATAAGGACAGCTTAAAATGTAAGTATGCCTACTTTCTCCATTTTCTTAATATAATTAGCAGCTTGTGGAACGTTCTGGCTACACTTACGGCATCAGTGTAACTCACAAAGATGCCTGCTATGCTCTCTGTCCCTTCGGGCCATGTGTTAACAGCTGCAGAAAAACCCTAGACATCCTACAGTCCTATTTATATAAACAGATAGAAATCTCAAAACTAGGCTTTCCTGTAGATATACAAATTAATTCAACTGTAAATATTTGGAGGATTCTTCTCACTTTGTCTCCTCCCATGAAGAAAAGCACTGTTTTATGTAACTCAAAAATATTTCTTACATGCAGTCACCAACAGTACTGGCCACAAAGTTATAAGACACAGCTGGGAGAGCTCTAACCAGCAGTTAAGAAAAAGTGTGTCAGAAAGGGGTTGGGATTGGCAAGTACAGAAACAAGGGAGCTACTGCAACAGCATGTGTTGAAATGGAGGAACGTTTACTCCTTTTCTTTCTAACATACCCAGGAAGCACATGAAGAGGAGAAATATGTTTTCTATCTAGTTGTAGCATGGAGAAATAGAAAGTGAAGTGACAGCAACGCAGGATCATCTTTGCCTTTGAAATGGTAATGGATAAAATAAATTACTGTAGGAAGGTTCAGTATAATTACTCACACTTGATTCTAATAAAACAATTGGATTCCTGCTTTATCATTATGCTTTGGCAATTTGTAAATACTATTGACAAGAAGTGTATTAGAGTAAAACTGTCCAGCTTGGGAGCATGTAGCAGTCCCTGGTGACCAGTCATCCCAGTAAAGACAGTGTCTGCTTTTAACTGCTGGCATCCGTCTCCTGCTGATCCTGCCTTGCTCTAGGGTGACAAGTGAAGGAGCTGCTAGAAAAAGCTCAATACGTGAGTGCTCTGTGCACTGCTTATTTTAAGGACTGTAAGTAAAACCAGTGCCAGCAGGTTTTGTCTTTTTTGATAAAAGCTTTTCAGCCTCACAGATGCCAGAGAACTCCTTGTAGCCACCTCTAAACCAGGGTACAGAAGGGGATTACAATAGTTTACGTCAGAAGAAAATGGAAACGGATACGGTAGTCAGGTAGCACAAGGCAGTTCCTTATTTTATAAAGGAGCCATGGTACAAAACCAGCCACTCACAAACGTCATGTTGAAGATGGCATACCTTAAAGACTTTACCACTGGAGGGGGGACATGCTGTGAATTGCATCAGTGCACCTTTAATACTAAAAGCCCATGAAAAAAGTAGAGCCACCAGTGACCAGGCAGTGGTTTCTTGTTGTGTGGGTGGCTATAAACAGTTGAGGAGGTGGAGGAATGAAAAATAACCTCAAAGTTTGCTCTGTTGCCCAAGAAACATGCAATTAAATTACACTCAGACAATGTACTATCATCAGGGTAAGTGCTGAATTAACTATGTGCTGTCTTTGCAACATGAAGTGCAAAGGACATCATAATGTAACAGAAAGCAGAGATTTTCTCAGGATGTAGGTTATGCACTCCAATTTGCCTGGGATTGACAAAAATCATAAATCCAAGGCTCCTAAAACCTCAATAATTTTAACCAGATGTGATTATTTCAGTAGTAATTTTGATTATTTTCACTTGCTTTCTTTTGGGACAGGGAGAGGAAGTTGAGCGTTTTCGTTTTCAGTTTTTTCTCCTGTGTGTAGCTAGGAAAGTAGCTACATATTCTTAAATACAAAAGATCTCATCTATTCATAAGACTCCTGGGCTAAAAGCCTTAAGAAAGGCATCTACTATAATGAGAGGCCCAATAAAGTTACAGGCACAGTCAACACCAGAGTACCCATCAACACCGACACATTTTCATCCAGGAGCAGAGCAGTTGAACTTCTTAAGTCACTTTTACTTACAGATTTCCACAAAACTGGCACTTGCAGAATCTCAACCTTCTGTTTTGCTGCCAGGAAATGCCTTCACTTCACGGAGTAGCAAAGGCAGCATATCTCAAAAGATAAACACTCCCACATCAGCCTTGAGGTAGTTTCCTGGTCCTGGTTCTCTGTTGGTTCCTTCAGGGCTAAAAGGATTCCAGCCCGTGTTGAATCACTGGGGATAAGCAGTAGAATCTAGGCCTTTTATAATTTCAGGGATGACTGCCTTTTAGAAAGCATCTATCCTTTACCTGAACTTTTCCAGTCACTTCTCAGTGTAGCAAGTGTTACTGAAAGGTGGAAACCAGAGGCTGAGGAAAAGCTCTTTGACATCAGGCAGAAAAGCCCTAGGGCTTTCTTCTGCCCCACATATCCCACATTGATTGAGGAGAGGCCAACCAACTGTATCTGCCTTTCAGCTCTGGCAAGATGATCAAATCCTTCAAGCAAACGTTTCTGTCCCTGGACCTGCAGTCCCCTCGGTGGAGCTCCACAGAGACGATGGTAACTGGGGAACAGAGCTCTCTGCAGTCAGGGTGCTGCAGAGCTAAGGTGGATTTGGGATTCTCAGGTCTGATGAACGTGAAGGAGCTGGGAAGCGTTATTATGGACACTGCTTACACCTAACTGCAAAGGGGGAGAGGAACTCCTATTTATTAGCTATGAGGAGCTCAGCTTAAAGCAGAACAGCATGGTTTTGTGCAAGGGAGGCATCAATTAGATGTTGGGGGTATGCATAGAGTCTGCAGCAGAGGCTGCCCAGTGCTATCTCATTGCAACAATACTTTCATGCTGATTTAGAAAAAGTAGCCATTTAATTTGTCATCTTGAATAATCATCTCATGGTTACCGTGACTTTTGCTACCTTTCAGGCAAAGGATTATGAACTGCGTCAGTATGAGACGGCAAAGTGGGTCAGCACAGTCATTAGGGGAGAAAGCCAGAAGGAGGCGATGCGCCAGGGCTTCTGGAAACTCTTCCACTACATCCAAGGGAAGAATGAAAAAGGTACAATGTGCTGGCTTTGTGCAAGAAGCACAAACACAAGATGGAGCTGAATAGCATAAAACAGTAGATGAGCTGTAGGACACAGCTAGTGTTCCTAGTCTAACAGCCATGTGCCTCCATTAGGCCACCCAATCCCCAAGGCTGCTTTTGGTTTCTGCTTTTAGGGTCAGCCTGCAGGACCCTTTCCAGCAGCAGACACAGCTTACAACTTTTTTTTCCTCCTTGCCTCTAGAAATGAAGATTGACATGACTGTGCCAGTGACATGCCTGATAAAATCGGGCTGCACAGACTTCAAGATCTCTTTCTTTGTGCCATTTGAACACCAGGACTCCCCACCACAGCCCACAGACTCAGATGTGTTTATTGAAGAACGGAAGGCAGCAGGGATCTTTGTCCGGTAAGCAGCATCAGCACAGCTCACGTATGAAGGTAGCTACTGAGAGTAGCTACTTTATTAAGAGTCTGGACTGCTCTTACTTAGAGCTGATTTTTAACTGTGGATTCAGAGCCTTGATTGGTAAAACCTGAGCATTTAGAAATCTTTCTTATCCTTGGGTCTCTTACTAAGAGCAAAGAATTAACCAAGTTTCGAAACATACATTCTTCAGCAAACTCTTGAATATTGCATTGAGTGGACTTCATAAAAATGCAGCCTACAGCATCTTCTTCTCTTGGGCACATTCTGTGCTGTGCTACAGAACACCTAAATCACTCTTCCATCCCTCTTTAGCTGTAGTGTCAAACTCCCACAGTTCTTTATTACAGGAAAAGCATCCAAAACTACTCTTGCCCTCTCTGCATGTATTACAGCCACAGGCAACAATTTGTGTCAGGTAATACTCTCAGCATTGCAAGCAACCAATTTAAAAACTCCTGCCTTTTAAAATAGCATACATAGCCATGTTTCCTGACAGCTACTTCTGCATGGTGCACCTATGAACTACTAAATGCATCAGAAGTGCTCAAACACTGCATGCTTTGCAAGCCTGAAGTTTCCTTTGTGAAAACAAAAAAACAGGGGCTTGAACTCTTAACATAATCCCCCCTCCCTTGTCACTTCTACCAGGTCCTTCGGTGGATTTGCCTCCCCAGAGAAATATGCTGAGGAAGCTGAAGTCTTGGCCAGAATCTTAAGAAACAGAGGCCAACCATTCCACGAAGACTTCTTCTACACCGCAGGCTATGACAGTCCCTTCAAGCTCTTTAACAGGCACAATGAAGTGTGGTATTTTAAGAAGTAATATGGTGGGGAGGGGAGTATTAAGATGCTACTAATCAGCTCTGCATGAAAACAAGCCTTATTAATGGCTTTTGCTTTAGTGCAGAAGAGATTTAATTTGTACACGGACACAGGATCATGTCTAATTCATTTTCTCTAAGATGAAATACTATTCTGTCTAAGAAGATTTCAGCTCTTTCCATAATATGTAATTTAAATTCCAGTAGATTGTACCAGCAGGAGTGGGAGGGAGATATGACAAACCTATTCCTCTTATTGAAGGGTTCTAGGGAGCATTAATCTGAACATAGTCCTGCAGAACAGATTGGATGTCTAGTTTTACTTCTCATTAGAAGTGCTACAGCAATAGCTCAAGTGTTATGGAGCATGAGTTCTTCACAGAGCTCACTTTCCCATACTGCTATCATTCTTGAGAAAACAGAAAAATGGGGGAAGTCAAATGAATTTTTCCAGAGAAGAAACCTACTGTTAATGAATTTTGAGAAGCAGCAATACCTTAGCAGGCCCTAGTGCCTCATAAGCAGGTTTTTTTTTTAAATAGTAGTATCAAAATTTCCCATCTTTCCATTTAACTTTTTAACCCATGGAGGCTAGATGTTGTCTTGCTCCAGGAGGCTAATGCCAGTGACCAGATTAGATTAAGAGTCCAGTGGAAAAGGGTTAGCAGTGTCCAAGCTGTAATGCTTATTCTGTGCCTGAACATGTAATACCAGACTTACTGGTGGCCTGTCACTATAGGAGCAAATACACAAATAGTAGTGTTTAGCTCTCATCAACAAACCACTAATTATTACTTATGTAGCTTTGTCCAAATCTCTGCATTGGTCAGGTCAACTACAACCTGCACACTAGCAACATCTGACACCTAAGTTAAGACACTTGCAGGACTAGCATTTAAACTAGTTTAGTCCCTGCTCTAAATCAAGCATTTGAAGCTTTTATAGAGTAGCCTGTAGCTGTTTTACAGCAAGCTATTCAAGTCAGAAAGCAGTTCACAACAGGTAGAGTTTACAAGTTTTTATTGGTTCCAATCAGCATCAGGCAAACATTACCAGTGTGGTAAAAAAACCTTTGGCTTTTTTAATGCTGTTCATGCAAGTGTAACCCACTGTTTTGCAATCTTCCACCTATTAAGACAGACAGAAGAACCATTATAAGGCACCAAATTCACACAAGAGGTTTGCTGGGAACAACTCAGACCTTAGATTTTCATCTCTGTTCAGAGAGAGAGTTCAGGCTAAGGTTATCATCATTTGTTCCAGCAAATAAATTATTACTATAGTTACACTCACCTTCTCAGTTCTTCATACAGTAATTTAAGTTGCCTCATCACCTAAAGCAAGAAAACACAATTAACATACACAGTAAGCACAACTGCTAAAAGCTCTACAGCAACTTTGTAGCCTCAGAGAAGAGTGGAACGGAAATTGTAATATCACAGTAATTCATTTGGCAGAATCAAATTTCATCAGTGGCTACAAGTATTCCCAGAAGCTTAAACAAAATTCATCTGCTGGGTGGTCTTACCTAATGAGGTTACAGACAGCACAGTCCTTTCCTGAGAAAGAGAGAACTAGTATCAGAGTAAGAGACATCACTGTATGTAAGTTTAATTATTTATCTATGAAATTCTATTTACTAAACTCATTTTACCTACAAGGAGGCTGCATTTCAGCTGCCAGCTGGCAAGAACTTTAACTTGCAACACCTAACTAGGATATACAAAGCTTACAAATCATAACTGAATTGAAAATACAGAATTACTAATATTGGAAGAACCATGGAAGAGTAGAAAGCTACTATTTGCTTTCTGATACTGTCTCTCCCCAATGTAAAGTTGTATTCAACATAACCAAGGCTAGCAAAAATTACCAAGTAGTGACAACCACAGCATATAGGGTTGGTGTTTTGCTTTTTCCTTAATTCAAGAGTGCAGTGTTGTACTGTCAGTTCACAGGATGGCCAGATACATCTGATACGAGCTGTGACAGTTGTTTGCTACTGTGCATTCTGCTCTGTACTAAGTTATCAACACTGTATTGGCTGAAGTGGTCTCCACTGACTCAGTTCCTTTATATTTCTACTGTGTAAAGACATCGAGCAATAAAAACCCAGTTTTTAAAGTCAGAGGCCACATCTTCTGTTCATACAAACAGAACTCTACACAGAGTCTACCATTAACTACCAGATCTATTATAGGACTGATTTTAGGCACCACTATCCAGGCATTTAGCAGAAAGACAATATTCCAGTAATTAAACCTCATGTACTCTACACTTAACTCAGAGGTAAGTTAGTCTTGTTTCTCACACAAACTCCCTACAAGCTTCACTAACAAGTGAAATTATTAACACTCTCCTTGGCAGCACTTCAAAAGTTAGTCTGAATGCATGTACTGTTTCAGTGCAAGAGTCCTCCTCAGTCTCTTTCAGAGAGATTCCCATTGCTTAGAATTAATCATCACAAACAGTACATGCTTAGAGAAGCTCAATGTTTTGTTACTTTTGTCTATCCTTAGAGGACCGACCTCAGCATTTCAGACCTTACCCCCAACCACATCTCCATTCACATCACGTAAAAGCTCTAATCTAGCCAGTGAGAAATAATTTACCACATTCTTCTATTTAAGATCAGCACTACTCCCTGCAAAAGCCTACTACTTGATTTAACCTGCAAAAAGTTAAATAGCAAATAACTGCATGGTTTTGGTTGGCAGTGCAGAGCTTGTGCTAGGTTACACACATTCTTTGTTATTATGAAACTCAAGCAGTCCATAGCAGTTACATTATTTCAACTGGTCCCCACTATTTCTTTTCAGTTACAGAAAGCTGTTAACATTCTGAAGTAATAGTCTTATTTATGGCAACTGAGAAGCAGCGGCTTACCAAGTAAGAAGCATCTGTCAAAGTATCCAGCAGTTCTCCCACACTCAAATCTAGGATACACACATAAGAAACGTCAGCCCAGTTAAGACTTCCAGAAATCCTTTGTCCATTACTGTTACAATCATCACCGTATCTTATCACGGTCTTTAGTCAAAGCATGAAATTCAGTCCCTAGCACCTTGGGTAAAGTAAACCTTGTAGGCTGCTAGTAAACTGTCATCTATTAGTAGAGGTAAGAAAATACTCCAGGAACCTTCTGCTTAACACTGCAGCTACACTGCAATTAGAGGCCAGCATCTAGAAACTTCCCCATCATCTATCACACAGTTCTGACCAGTCATATGCATTTACTGTCCAACTTACTTTTACTGGTAGCACTACCAATTGTACCACTTCACTGCTCCACCACACCAGCCCTGGAACAAAGCAAAATATCAGAAAAGCACACCAGCAAACGCACAAGGATGAAATCTAGTCAGGTGCCTGAAGTCAGATAGAGCTAATTGCAGACCTCCATGATTGAAGTCAAGGTAGTCACATCTCATCACACAGGCAGCTCACACTGTCAGTCACTGGACAGCTATCTGCTTTAGGCTAAAGTTGCTACGGGGAAAAGGGGCAAATAAGCAAACGGTGCTATCAGAGCAACTTCATGAGCCCATAGGCACACGGCGAAGAGCTTAGCACAAACCAGCCTGTCAAGGCTGGGCCTTATCCAGCAGTTCTCCCCTTGAGCATCCTCCTGTTTTGGCCAAGGTGCAAGCAGCAGCCAACACTGGCCCCTTCCACCTCCTCCCTCCCAGCTTCCATGCAGTTAAATACTTCAGTTCTAGGCATTTTTTTTTTATGCTAATACTTGTAAAGTTAAACAAGTACTTACATTACAATGCAAAACACTTTGGAAGCCTGCAAAGGAAAAGTTGCTATTAGATAGGGTCCAGCAGGAAGTTTTACCCAAAGAACAATTCCAGTGAAATACTGTATCAGCGTTTAGTCAAGTTTTATCCTCATTGGGATCAGAGACCTGATTCAACATCATCTACAGTAGACTGCAACACTCCCACCCTTCCACAAGGGGGGTCTGAAGCCATCTCCCATTCTCCCCAGCACCCTCAGCTCCAGAGACTGCTGAAATTGCACAAAGGAGCAAACCTCTAAATCACAGAGTTTAGTGACATGAACTTTGTGTAAACATCTAAGGTGGCCTAAACCAGGAAAAGCACTTCAGGTACTAAATTCACAGTACTGTCACATTCACCATTTAGTCTCAACTGGCACATTCTAGAAGTCTTTAACACTGCAAAACAATTACTTAGTGCTTTTTATCATGAAGCATAGGGGATGTGAAGGCACACTTCAGGTACAGTAGTATCTTCGCTTCAGATTTTCCAGAAACAAAATGGATTTGCAGACCCTCTTATCTCCAAAAGCAAACTTCCAAGCTACAATGCAGCACACAAACAGAGCATCCACCTAAAAAAATGGGGTTTTTTTAAATTACCTTCAATTAGGAAGGCCTTGGCTTCACCAGCATCAGTAACATGTGAAAGCTTCTCACACTGGAAGCACAGGTATCCTGTCCAGGGCAGCCTGCAAAGCAACACCACTTGTAGAACTTGGAGCACTAACACCACATCAATCAAGATTTTCTGTTACTGAAGTAACACATTTATTCTGCTGTATTTGTGCTTCATTTCACAAGCAGAACCTACTCTATCCTTCTACTCATCCTGAATTTTTTAATGTTTAACCCATTTACAGATTTTCTGAAAAATTTCCAACACACATTTATGGAGCAGAAGAAAGTGTTTCACCCACAGCTTTCCAGGTGAATTGTCTGTCAAACTTAGCCAAAGGTACAGCAGGCTGCATCAGATAGGAGCGAAAGACAGTAGCAGTGTGATCACCATGGGTCATCTGCTGAACTATGCAGTCATCACACACAGCCTTTTACACACGTCAGGCATATAAATCAATTTTTACAAATGCAGGTAATACAATATTTACCTCACACAGCTTATAGCTTCATCTGCCAGTGCCTGCAACAAAAGGAAAAAAAAAAAATCAGACTCCCTCAGTCTTCATGGCCAAGCCTACACCTAGGAAGAGATCACAAGAGCTAGATACATCAGATAGGAGCAAAAGACAAAGCTCTGTTCTTCACAGGATATTCTGCTGAACTATGCCATCATCACTGTATCTGCTTTGGAGTAAC